ATATATGATCTCTTTTCCCATTCCGATCCCCATCGATCAGATGCATTCCCTGGTGCCAGAAAGATGGAAGCTGAGGTTTGTTTGGGATGTGATGTTGCTTATTCGAGTTGACCTCTGACATGTTTCCTGATGTTTCCTGCGTTTTAAGATTCTAAGGATGTGTCTGTCCATGTTTCACGGTGGTCAAGAAGCCTGTGGTGTTGTAGCAGGTGGTGGAACTGAAGTTATGTTGTTGGCATGCCTAGGTTAGTTTCTCACTTTCTATAAATGTCCTAGATTTTCAATCATGATGTCTTTTTTGAGATTCCTCTTTCCGAGTGGGTATTTGAAATCTCATTTAGCATATCGAAATCGTGGAATCGCTAGAGGAATGTATCACCCAGAAATCGTAGCTCCTTCCACTGCTCACCCAGCGCTAGACAAAGCAGCAGAAATGTTCGGGATGACAGTACGTAGAATCCCAGTCAGGGAAGACGATCGAGTGCATGCTGCAGCTGTAAAGCGAGCGATCGGACCTCACACCTGCATGGTAAATATATTGCTACTCTGCTCAAGCACAGGAAGTCCTCTCACTTCTCTGATTTCAGATTGTAGCATCGGCACCAAACCACATCACCGGTACTGTGGACCCAATTGAGAGGTTGTCTGAGGCGAGATTTCCCTGCTCGAGTCCTATCTTTGAATCTTCGATGTTTTCTAAGTTCAGAACGATCATTATAGGTGGCCCAGCGATTTGGCGTCCCTCTGCATGTCGATTGTACTCTTGGTGGATTTCTCCTTCCTTTTATGGAATACTGTGACTACTCTATTCCAACATTTGATTTTCGCTTGCCCGGTGTTACTTCCATAGCGGTTGATCTCCACCGCGTCAGTCCTATCATTGTAGCTTCTGTGTGATCTTTGAAATATGGTGGCTTTTACAGTACGGTCAGGCACCGAGATCTTGCTCAGTCCTTATGTATCGTGATCAGTCGATGCTGCGTCACCAGTGCTTCTGTAATAGTGATTGGCCAGGCGGTGTCTATGCAACTCCCACTCTCGCTGGTGGTCGTGACGGAGGCGCCGTAGCCACCGCATGGGCTACTTTACTTGGGAAGGTATCGAAGTTCTTTCTTCTCTCTTGTAACTTTTTTATCTGATTATTACCTATACCATTCATTGTTGCTAGTTCTCCAAGTATATCAACGCTAGCATCACATCATATTTCAGGGGCGTGATGGTTACATAACTGCATGTCATCGGGTAGTGGAAACGACTCGCCGTCTCGCTGAGTTGCTCTCGGATATCGACGGAATCACGTTGAGAGGGGCAGCCGATCTATGCATTGTGGCTTTTGAAACTACTCTTGGCGACATCTACGTTCTGGTAGATTTCATGACAACCAAGGTGAACCGAATTTATTGTTTTTTTTCTACGGCTTTGTATTCTTTTCTTTCTCTTCGAAATAATTTGTTACAGGGTTGGCATGTCGATCCACTTTTGTCTCCTGAAGCTGCTCGGGTGCCGGTTACGCTGAGAATGTGTGAGGAAGGAGTTCTCGAGGCATTTGTCGAAGACGTCATTGAAGGCCTTCGTTACCTTGGCGAAAATCCCACCAAAACAACGAAAACTTCTGCTTTCTATCACATGCTGCAAACGGTAATACAATATTTTTATACTCTCAGTTAACAGCTGGCTAAGGTATATATGGCGAAAGGATCTTTTATTTCAAATTTTTGTGAGGTCTGAACTTTTGTGAAGCTTTGCTGCTTTCTACGATATCTAGCTTATTTCCATCCGGTCATTTCCAGTTATTTGTGTGGGAGGATCTCGGCTAAAGCGTCCACTTAATCCATGCAACGTCGGGTAGGTGTGAGATCGTCGTAACTGCTGTACGTATGCTGAACTGCGTACACCTGCATCCCTCCCTTATTTTTTCTCGACGTGTGCCACACATTCCAACCTCAAACTCTTGAAAATTTTCTGATATTCTGAGGCTGAACACGGACCATTTGGTGGTCATTCTCTAACCCAACATTGTTTTTCTTAACCGTCTAGACAAGCAACTAGGCGATTTAGGTACAGAGCGATGTGAAGTAATTGGCGAATCAACAGAACACATTCAACTTTTAGTGGGTGCTGGGGTGCTATTCTCAATGGAGCAAGCGTGAGAGCTAAAAATTTATGACGTCAAATTCGATACACGCTTATTTAACATTGTAGTTAATAAGTCCTTACTTTCTCTCCGCTATCAAAAAATTACTTATTTCTTGAATAGGGTAACGCCGCCGAATCTTGCTGAATAAACAAATCTGAAACCAAAATCACCGTTGAACTC